AAGGATCTTGCTAAGCCATTTGAGATTATATTTCCCCTTAACAACAAAAAAAATGTTTGTCTGTAAATAAGTGCTTGCTTATTCGTTTGCCAGGCGTAGAAACTATGCCAAATATTTGATCAATATATGAGGCAATGTAAGAAGGAGACCTTGTTCTGCAATGTACTTTTTATAGGTTGTAAAACATGAATGGATGAATAAATCTTTAAGTAACATAGCAAGGTATGTGGACAATATTTGGATACACAATAAATAGATTATATTTGATCCCCTATATTTTAAGTTTTGGTAATTTTTGATATCTTTTGAAATATAAATAGGAATTAAGTACTTAAAAAGTACGAATAAATCCATATAAAATGAAAATAAATGAAACCGGTATATTATGAGAAGGATAATATTATATAAAAAAATACTTTACAAAAACATGAAATTAAAAAAAATCGTAGCTTCATTGTTGACTGATAGAGAATAGCATAGAGCATTAGGCCCGCCATTTGTATCCCTTAGTTGAAAGTGTTTGCAACATAGGATAAATAAATCAGTACTCTTCCTTCATAGAATAAACCAGCACTCGTTGCATCGGATATCATATGTTTGCGGTGTCCCGTTAGACATCTACATTTACCCTACAAGAAAATATTTAATAAAATATATTAGTATGCACTATACATTGTGAGACTATATTATAATCATTTGTGACTATATATTTCTGTATGGCCGTGAATGCTAAATGCTGTGTGTCACCTGTAAGGGTGCACACATTAGTCCCTAAATTAAGTCTACTTTCAATATTAATATAATATTGTGGTCACTGCTCGTGTCCTATGAATAAATAAATAGAGCTTAGCGAGTAAAAGAATAAGGGTGACAAATGAGCACAGTGACTCATAAACATCTTCATCATCCTCGATTTTAAAAATCAAAATGCAGATGCGTTGTCACCTTTGAGGACTAACATGGAAGGCTTCGTTTCTAGTAAAAAAGGGTCTGGATCTCTACACTCATCATACGAACACAACAGCCTTAAGCTACTATTTAACGCTGGTATTTTGTGAGAGTGTGGTCCTGCCATGGCAGAGCGTGCTGTATCACGTATAAAAGAATATTGAAATTAAACGTTTTTTTAAAAATAAAACTATGTATTGTACTTTCAGTTACAAGTTTAATACCTGAATATTTTGCACCAAACTCTTAATTTACTAGGTAAAACAAAAATCAGTTATTTCAAACACAAGTTATAGCTTACTAAGAACTTTTTTACAGATCCCAGAAAATCTTCAACAAAACATTACAACTCACTTACATAAAACCAGCAACTGAAAATAAAGGAATAAATATTTGAAAATCGTCGCCGTGGTAGAAACCAACTAAGGTTTCTCTTAACATCAAGTTTCGACATGTTCAATTATGTATTCGTGGTTAATAAATATTCCGAAAATTACATGGTATGGTTTATGTATTGCTGCAACGAATTAGTTCTGAAAATATCGATTGCTGTAAACTAAGACTATCAACCTCACGAAAGCTAGTTCTTGCAATTTAACATATGAAATACTGGACGTTCACTTTAGAATTACGTTTGTTTACCATAGAAATAACGCGTAGGCGAATCATTCATTCATAAAACCGAGATGCCGAAAGTGAGCATCAGTTGTGTCATAAGTTTACTACGAGTAGCGATCTGACCCAGCGTCGCACGAGTGATTTCTGGATCTCGACAACAGCGTCACCTACCGGGTAAAATTGAGAAACTAAACCGGTCGTATAGGAGGAGTTTAGCCACGTACACACGGACGGAAGAATTTTATACGAGTATATAAAGATATCAGTGATGAGTCTGGTTTATCACACACTAATGTTTTATAATCGTTAGTGAAATATTATAAAATTATGTAAGAAAAAAGGTTTTTAGTGTAATAAGCCTACGAAATGTTAAATAGTTCCAAAAGAAAGAAAGATACATATATATTTATAGTATTTAAGATATAATTATAGTAATTAAGAAACATATATAATTATAGTAATTAAGAAACTTCTTACTTGAAATCAAATGACGTACACAACGCAACATACAATGTCAAACCTCAAAAAAATTTGTTATTTTTGTCTTGTGTTAAAAAAATATTTGTTTTGTCTGTCTTGGTTCAAAAATGGTTTTTGTTTTTGGATTTTGGTTTTCGGGGATCTTCAAGACGTGTTCTGGTATCAAAAAATGTTTACGGTTTCAGATGAAGTTCTATGACTAATTTTACTGACAAAATGAACTAAACACTCATAATTCAAATTTTTCTTTTCCTTATTATTCACGACAGCCATACAAGGCCAAAATTGCCATAGAATATATTCTAACTTTATTGTTTTGCCGGACTAAAATTGATTGAAAACTGCGGCCTTTTGAAATTTAAAGTGAAATACCTACAATTTTTATTTAACACAATTTTTATTTTATTTAATACCTAGTCAATGAGGATTAATAATCTTTCGCTCGTCAGATGGCGCTAGTTCACACTGAGGTGAAGTTGTTTTGTTACACAATATCATTTAATTGAGAAGTTAGTTTCAAGTAAAATTTATCAGTTTCTAGAGTATTAAGTATATTAAAACACAAAAATTCCTCAGTGGTTTGCTCTTTAGTTTTTTTTGCATATTTTTAACTCTGACCAAACCACCGAAGCATTCCTTTCTTAATCCTGGTCAAAACATCATCTTGCATACCACATTTATCTCTTATCACGCAATTTCTCACCCTGTCATTCAGATTCAACCCTAGCATACTACTTAAAGACCGCATTTCTACAGCATTTATTCTACTTTCGTGCTTCTTCTGCCACACCCAGCTTTCGCTACCATACATTAAAGTAGGGACTAACACAGCATTATGAATTACCATACGTGCTTTTTTTGACACATTCTGGTTCTTCACAATAGAGTGTAGTGCCCCATTCACTCTATTCCCTGCATTTACTTGTCGTTCTATATCCTTATCATATCTACCATCCCTGCTAAATACACATCCCAAATACACAAACTCATCCACTTGCTCAATTTACTCTCCTACTATTCTTATTTCACATACCGTTTTGCTTTCTTCTCTTTCAAAAACCATCACTTTCATCTTACTTGCGTTCGCTTTCATTCCCCTTTCTTTTAATGCCCAGTTCATTAATGTAACCATCATTTGCAACTCAGCCGCCGATGACGCAAATATGACTTGATCATCGGCATACAAAAGGCATTTGACGGTTAACTCACCCATTCTTAACCCACATTCTTCATCCTTCAAAGTTTGCAAACACCTGTTCATAAATAGGTTGAATAGCCAAGGGGAATCTACACAGCCCTGTCTGACACCTTTTTGGATGTCAAACCAGTCCGAGTAGACTCCATTGATCCTGACACAAGCACTAGAGTCCCTATAAAGAGACCTTAATGCCTGTATCAAACCAGCGCTCAACCCATGTGAGTTCAGTGTTTACCATAACACATTCCTGTTCACTCTGTCATAAGCATTTTCCAAGTCCATGAACGCAGAAAAAGCTTTCTGGTTTTTGGCCAAAAACTTCTCCGCAATCATGCGCATGGAAAAGACTTGATCTGTACACCCCATTCCCTTACTAAAACCCGCTTGCACATCCCAAATTTTTCCATCGGTTTCTTTCATAACTCTTTCAATTAACACCTTAGCATACAGTTTACCCACAATACTAAGCAAGCAGAGAGTATACTAAGTAAGCAAGGGGAGTAGGATTGTATGATAATTAAAAATTTGAGGTTTAGGTTTTCTTTACTACAGTTTTTTTTTAAATATTGTGTGTAATATTTTAGTTTAATTTAATTTTACACTATTTTTTAACAATGTAAATATTAATAATTGAGAATAGGAACACAAAAATGTAAATTGAAGTAATGTATTGAATGTAAAATAAAAATGATTGTGTCTGTGATTGGGTCATTCGTCTCTTGATATGTACACAATATATGCCCGGGATAACGTTCTAACTTGCTATATATATATATATATATATATATATATATATATATATATATATTATACTGAACTCTGAAATTTTTATATTTTATTGACTGAAAATCGCATAATTACAACAATTTCCGAGCGGGAAATTGAAAATGATGACATGCTCACATGAAATAATGACAGTACATAATGAGACTAGAAACATTTAGGAATATTTGGTAAATAATTTTTCTTACGTGTAAAACGCCGGTAACAAGCGGTAATGTGATATATAAAACTTTGTATAATATAATATACAAATTCAATCTGTAAAAGGTCTCATCAACTAACATTTAGAGGAACTTCCAGATGTAAATCTTTACATCATTTGAAACATTATAAGTGCTCGTTCCAGTGTTGAAATGTTTTCACCCTTTTCATGACTTCCGCATGAGGATGGCCAAAGAATGTACGTAAAAACGAATCTCACTAAAATAAAAACTGAATAGAGGTCGAAGGAACATATAGATAAAATTAATAACTGTTCTGTTTTTATATAATTATGATGTATAATTATGAGAATTGTGGTATTCAGTGTAGTGTTATAGAGAATGGAAATATTTAGATTAAAATTCAGATTTTTTCGAAGAACTTTGGGGACAAATACACAAAAATTTTCCTTGTTATTATACATATACATAAACATACATACATATACCATTTCTGTTGTGTCTCTGCTAACTTCTCCATGTCCGATGAAAGTCTATCAAATTAAGAAATTTAAATTATATTTTATTATAATTATAATTCCAGATCATAGACTAACAAAAAAGTGAACATAATTAATGCAATATTTTGTAGCCAGGTAAATTGTAACTCCTGTTATCTTGATCTGTAAGTTGTTTGATAAATTCACAAAATTATAATTCCATATATAAGGATTTGCTCTTGGCGCCAATCGTAAAGCTGCTTTAAGAATGTCACGGCCAGGAACAATGTTTTGTACAAGTACTACGACTATATGCAATATATTTTGTCAAACATGAAAATTCTTCAGCAAGAAATACCAAAGAACAGTGGGTACATTAATCTTTATAACCTCATTTTTGTTTCTAATCGAGGGTTGCATTATTATTAAAAGAATCCGCCGCTCTACTTAGGAAACAAAACGTCAAAATAATAAATTTGCAAAGAATTGGGTCTTCAATAAAATAAAAGTATGCAAAGAAAATGAATGAGCCGGTGTCCGTTCATAAAATATTTTATTTCAACGCCATGTAATCTGACAAAAGAGATTATAGACGGTCATAGCAGGCAGAATAGATTGGTGACAGCAATTGCGTTCTAAAACGGATTATAATGTATTAATTCTTACTAAGCCGCGCTTAACGTTACGTGTTATTATTTAAAATTGTTTAAAAATTGTTCTAAATGGATATAACATAATATGTATAACAATTGTGTAGGCGGTGGAAAAAAATCTATCTATTAATACCGTGGCGTGTGTACCGCAAAAGCTAACTATGGAAATGTTAGTTAAATCTGATGGTGCCTCATCGACGACAATATGGCAAACCTGTATCAAAGTGACACAGTGTTGCCATTCGAGTGATCACAGCAAGTCGTCTACGCTGGGTACGTACAGCATTGGTTGAAAATAATCTTTTTATTTTTTTGTGTTATCTTACTGTCCATCTGATGGTAATTGGCGAATGTAATCCAAGATTATTCTTAACTTAGTTACATTTTATACTACTAGTTTTAATTAGTGGAAATGCAAAAAGTGAAGTAATTCCGTTGTGATTAAAATATCTGTAAACTAGCGTTGCTGTTGTTAATGTTATGTTATGATCAACCAGTCAACAGCTAATGGCAAATTTATGCAGCCTGTACGCAGAGGTCAGCAATGAGAAATGACATATTAATTAAACTTACAAGAAATACTACTGACTTCTACTGAACTACTACTGAGTAAGCTACTGACTGAAAATAAAGAAAAATTATTATTTTTGCACCATCATCTTCCACTTTAATAACTATAATTCAAGCGCATAGACATTCATCTGATAATGCTTTTTTATTTCTATAAAATATAGGTTGATTATGTACCTATAATTACTTTGATGATTACAAGAAAATAAATTATAAAATAAAAAATATTTTCATTTTACCAATAACCAGACTACAATAAAACTTCTTACTTAAGTATTCAGTATTCGGCCGAATATTACCTAGATATTGAGTATTTCACCGAATATTCGGTGCTATTCTAGTATATATATATATATATATATTTTATACAATGGGGTTGACAAACGAGAACACAGTCCACCTGATGGTAAGTGGATGCTGTGGCCCATAGACATCTACATGTATCTTGGGTTAAGAGTCAAATGCAGATGCGTTGTCACCCTGAGAACTACGATGGAATGCCTCGTTTCCAGTAAAAAGGGCCTCCGGTTCTCTACACTCAGCACCAGAAACGCATCAGCATTAAGCTGCTATTTTACGTTGATATTCTGTGAGAACGTGGTCCTTTCCCGGTCGAGCGGACGCATTTATGCTTCAACCATAACATAGCTGCAGCGTGGCTCTACCACGTAAGTAATGCTACAAATTTCATACAATTTAATGCTATTTATATGAGACAATGCCGTAGTAATAAGACGGCGTCAGTTTAAAAGGTGTCGTAAATCTCTTTGTTAATAAAAAAATATTAATAATTCTGCATTTTAACGACGGTTTGTAAGTTCTTTGATCTTTGACTGTCGTCTTTTCACTTCTGTACATTCGTTCAAACGTTGCCTCACATTACGACATGTGATTCATTGAAAGTTTAGTATTATCTGTAAACGAACACAACACAAAGGAACAGATGTACTGTCACGCTTAAGGACTTAGGCCGGTATCAGAATATATTCTTGAGCGTAAATTCAAATTTGTCAAAATCAAAATTCGAGTTAAGCCAATGTTACATAAACTCAAGAACCGGGTAGTGGTAAATATACAGTAAGCAATTAGCCGCTGAACTATCACGGCTCTAACTATTATGTATGTTATTTTACAGCGCGCGGGTAACGTGGGTGCGATCCCGCCGGCATTAATGAAATAATTATTTGTAATTTAAAAAGCTAGCTTACCACGTGCACAATAAAGACGGCTCTGTGAAGCCACTGCGTTTAACATTGTGTTGTACCGCCTAAGGTCGTGGGTTCGAACTCCACAAAGAATAAGTATTAGTACGGCCTATAATCAATTATTACGGGTCTAGATGTTTCTCTTTGTGCAATTTATGTGTGTGAACTGCCTCTACGATACAGAAGAACATCTTGAGAAAACCTGCATGTCTGTGGAGCAGCGCTGAGCAACTTCATTTTAACTTTTAGAGTAATAATGAGTGATAACATTTGTAATATCTTATACATACGATATAAAACAACGTCGCTTCCCGCTGTCTGTACGTTTAGATCTTTAAACTACGCAACAGATTTTGATGCGGTTTTCATCAATAAACAGAATGATTCAAGAGGAACGTTTATATTTATTTATAATACATGCATATGTTGTCAAGATCCAAAAATCACCCCTGCGAAGCCTGAATGGATCGCTATTTTTATAAAACTCTTTAAAACGCAGTATAATATAGTAATATTTAATAAACTAAAAGAAGAGAACCAAAGAGAAGACTTGCTTGTCCTGTTCTTGCATTTTATCTCTAAACCTCTATTTAAATCTTTACTTTATTTTTCTTTTAAAGAATATATATGTTTATGTAATAGAAAATTTACATGCCAAAACAATAATCACCAAAACCAGTGTAAAGCATCTACGCACACACAGCTACAAGCAATATACACAGTAATCTATGGTTACAAGTCAACCCGTAGACAGAGAAACCTATGTAGGTACAAACTGACGCCTTCTTTCGCATTCGCACATGAAAAAGCTAGATTTATGCATACCTCTTGCATAGAAATGAGTGTGTGAATGCAGTGTAATTGTTTGTCCCTTTCTCCGTGCCGGTTTTTTTGTTTAGCAAACTACACTTTGCTAAACAACTTTGACAGTTCGTAGCGATCTAAGGAGTTTACAAGTTAGTTTAAGTGAGAAAAAGGTGTTTTGTGTGCTTAAGATTGGTGAATTTTGTTCAGTTCAGTTCTTAGTACAAATAAAATTTTTATCTAAATATGTTTAAAAGTCATAAAGATTATTGTATAGCCTAAAAATACGTTATCGTCTTTTCTCACTCGAGGCCACGCTAATCATTAGTCTATAGGTTTGTCTGTCTACGAGTCAACCACTATTGGGACAACAGATTATTGCTGCAATTCCGGGAACTGAGTCATTTAAGTTACGTTGTAACTATTATTTATTCTGTGGTTATAATAACAAAAACAAACCATTTAACGATTAAACAATTATACGTTTAACATTACTCTGTAATTATTATTTGAGTTCTCAATCAATGACGTTTATATCTTTTTTCTTCATCTTCTCTATATATAAAATCAGAAAGAATCATAGAGAAACGTAAACGGTTCGAACAATTTTAATGAAATATTTTGTGTCTGTGTGTGGTACCGTTTTCTAGATCCAGAAATCAACCGTGCGAAGCCTGGCGGATCGCCTGTCAGCTTATAAATAAAATAACTAAATGTCCAGTGTTGAATATGAGGCTCTTCCGTTGTAGGGAGAATTTGCTTTAATCATCACACTTGGTAGGTGATTGTCGATCGCTGTACCAAGTTTCGCACCTTCGACGCTACTGCCCGTCGTCAGTCTGGTTATTTTACGCCTGGCGTAAACAATATGGTTATATCGTCATCTACTAGCAAATTTTTTTTATTAGATTAACAGTATAATTTTTATACTTTAACGACAAAAGAACTAACATTCCACCAGATGGAAAGTGTGATTTTTTAACTAGAAAGGCCACGGATGCATCTTCAGCAATTATTTTAAATTTAGACTAGCAATTTGCGCGGGTATTTTTTGGATCTCGACATAGCATCCAACCAACATCCAATTTTGAATCTAAACTAAACTATATAATAAAAAGGCAAACACTCCTAAATTATTTGCCTATTCATTATATAATTAATGTGATATATTGTATTAAGGTGTCGTGTTATTTTGTTATGCAATAATTATATATGACTATAAATATATACTATCCTAATATATATACTTTTTACTTGAAACGAGGCATTCTATCTTAGAGCTCTGAGGTGACTTCGCATCTGCATTTTGATTCTTATTTAAGGATAGATGTAGGTTATCTATGGGCCACATCATACACTTACCATCAGGTAGATCATTATCATAATGCAGATGCACTAAGATAGAATGCCTTGTTTTCAGTAATGAGGGTCTCCGTTTCTTTACACTTACCATATAAAATACAGAAATATTAAGACGCTATTCCACCCTGGTATTCTGTGCGAGCCTGGTCCTTACTCAGTCTAACCGACCTTTGGTTCTGCTGCCATATTATAGCTACAGCATGGTTCGACCACGTCTAAAAAAACCACAAAACATGATTTTTAACAACAAAACATTAACTAGACAAAGAAATCTGTGTATTCTTATTATTGTAATAAATTGTTACATAGAGTCGCGGAGCGTGTATTCTAGTATGATAACCTTAATTGACTCTTTACTAAACACTATGGATTTAAATTATTAGGTTTCCTTCATGTACACCGAATTTTTCAAAATATCATCACCGATGTCGTATAATTATACTATAAACAACAACTCTCATAATCGAGATCAATTCAGCCATACCTACCTTTGGATATATGGTTAATAAGGTTTCGTTTAATGAACATATCGACGCTACCATCCAAAAAGCATTCCGCAGTGTAGGCTTTACAAATAACACTAAATCTTTTAAGAGGAGTATAATGTAATAATACTCGTATATAAAATGAGAAGAAGATTAAAATACATTTCATTTTTATCAGGCTTAGGTAATATCCAATAAACAATTTTTGCAGTAATATATTGGGTGCGTTTGGCAGAAAAAAGCGGTAGCAAGCGCTTGTAAGCAAAATGGCGATCGTAAGCGGTAAGCGCTGTCAAATCGTAAGTAGCTATTTTCCTCTAGGACACGAAGTTAGTTTTAACCGGGGTACCTAACCTAATTTAAATTTATGTTTGTAAAGTATTCATATTAAAAACTTACCAATCATGAATTTTTAATAACATGTATATGTCTATTCATGTCATTATATTACTTAAAATTAATATTGCACAAAACAACTTATAAACTCTACTTCAAACCAAACAAATTAAATAAGCAAAATGGCGGATTGTGTCAGCGCTACTGAAGTTAGCAAACGTGTCCTGGCCGAAAACTGTTTAGTTTCGCCATTTTGCTTACAAGCGCTTGCTAGCGCTTTTTTCTGCCAAACGCACCCATTGGGTCCCTAAATATATCATCATCACCATCATAATTTAATCCTTAGTATTAGGGATAGAGGCCAACTCTAGGGAATGCCACATAGCTCAGTCCTGAGCCACCTGGATTTTTCGACTTCCTGCTTATTTTAGTAGATCGATATTTCATCTAGTTAGAGGCCGCCATACACTTCAATTACTTCGAGAATCTTTCCTTCCCATCGGTTGTCGGCTATATGGCCGGCCCATTGCCACTTTAACTGATTGATCCATTGCGCTATGACGATTACTCTGGTTCTACTGAGGACATCCTCATTCTACAAGTCTTTCACGCAGACGAAGTTCGCATCTCGATAAACGACTTTTAACTTCCTCGGCTAGCAGTAAAGGACCATATCTAGGATCCGTATGTCAACACACTGGCAACACACACTCTTGTTAAAAAAATATCTACATATAACAATCAAATATGTGATTTAAAATGAAACTATATACTATAACTATAGACAGTTTATACAACTTCAATGCTACGAACGCCATGATCGCACGTTTCATTCATAGACCTTGTACTGTGATCTACTCATTCATTCATAAGCCGAGTATGCGTCTGCGTATAATTTTGTTTTGATTTTCGCGGAACATATCAAAGTCATTTCCGACACAAGGATAAGCCATTTTAATTTCGCGTATCACTGCGAAATAACTTCCGCAAACGAGATGTTACATACGTGTGTTTGTTTAGACAAATTATATAAAATGTTGTTGTCAGAACGTAGTTTTCTGTTTATTTATTTTGTATTGTTTCAACCTTGTAATAATTTTGTAACGTACATTTATTATATAAGGTTATGCTTTACAAAAATATAAGCTTTACAAAAACATAAGAGTATTAGTAATATAAACTAAATAAAATAAAAAAAACTCAAGTCAGTAAAAGATTATTTTAATAAAATGAAGGTATAAAAAATAAGTTAGTAAATTTTTTAAGGTGTTTACTCGAAATTGCTTTCGGAGTTAAAGTTACGGTTTACATAAGTCAGATGCTGGTCCCAAGCCTCCTCTCATGTCCAAGAGATTTATGGATCAGTTGGTCAACCAGGCTGCTCCAGTACGTTTTAGCACATCTTAGAAATACAAAAATTTTCAGAAATGCAGGTTTTCTTACGACGTTATCCTTCACCGTTTAGCAGGAGGTAATTGGTGCCGGCGCGGGGTCTAACTCTGATTGTTCGCGTAGTGTGAAATTTAAAGCGATCGTCTAGCCCCAAAGCTACCATTATTTAAAAATAATATTGAGAAAACAATATTGAGATTTCTTGAATTATATAAATCAAGTAATAGATGAGTATTTCATTTATTACCTTTGCATGTTTAGAAACGCAAATATTTGTTAAATGGCACGTGCCTCAAATGATGGCCCTTCCAATAACTGAAATAATCATTTCGACAACAGCGCCAGCTACCGGGTCCAAATGTGAATAACCAAACCACCTAACTGATATATACACAAAATATTTCATCAAAATCAATTTAATGGTTTCAATGTCTATGTCCGTTACATAAGTAAAACAATTTCTTTTTTCTTTTTTGAGTAGCCAAATATTAAACCTAAGTTCAAATATATAAATAATGATATACCGTTATTGCATTTTTTAAACTACGAGTAAATAAGGCTTCTACTTTTATTTGAAATCATCCCGAATTGAATGTCATTTATGGGCAGTAACGTTTTTGCGTACCGATCGACCCTTACTAAGTAAAATCAGTCAAAATGATGCATTACGTATTTTGACAGAATGTTTGAGATTTTTTAATTTATTTTTCTTCACCATTTGCCTACATTACTTATTCTGAACCTTATCTGCAAATTTGGCCAGTTATTGCAATATAGCATGGCTATTTTGCCATAACCGGCAGAATTTCCAGGGATACATGGATAGATAATGGTCACAATTCTCAGTTGAGTTCGCTAGACATTTGAGACTATTCATAAGGAGGAATAATTTTTCTAACATTTACCCAGTACCATCTGGTGAGGAAAGTAAAAGACGACAGAGAGAAAACAGGATATATGCAACAGTATCTTCCTAATAACAATTCATAATAATAAAAATTGCGGTTGCCAACCCACTTTATAAGAGAGGGAACTATGGCAAATATTCCCCCACATAAGTCTAAAAATAATTTGTCGGAAATATATCGGCTGGATTTAAGTAGATTCCATAGTGATCGTTTCACTATATACTGAGCTATAGTACAAAACTCCGCATTATTCGACTACGTTTTTGTTGTAAGATGTCAGATGAATCTTCCATAAACTTTTATTAATATGAATAAGTATTACGAACCGGATTAATTAAAATCTTTAATTTTACTAAATCACATACTAAATGAATTTATCGACAACAATTTTTGTTTCGGTAATGGCACATCAATAGGGGTGTCTATAGAATGGAAAAACGTCTATAAAAAATGTCAGACGTATAAATTATATAACCACCTTATTTTGTACATGTTTAAATGTCATATGTGTAAAACGTTAAGCTATAAGAATTTTGTTCTTATTTTAGGATCTTCTCTACGGTAGCAATTATTCTGAGGTCTGACGACAACAGAACGGTAAACCGCCACCTGTCAGAAGATATGAGATCTTTCTGGTATTTTTTCAAAGTATTGGGTCAAGGTATATGGAAGAGGTATAGTATGATACTGGATAAATTTACTACCGCGTAGGTCAGAAAACGTGCCAGCTGAGACATAATCCTGGGTTTGTATATTGTTGAGATCTAGAACACTTGTAATTTTTGCAACGTGAATTAGGAAGAGTCGTATCTATATTTTTCTGTACACTTGTGGCAGTAAATACAAAGACAAAGCTATATTTGTTTAATTAATTAATCGAGATGCATAAGTAAGAATAGTAAAGTTTTACGTGGTAGAGCCATGCTGCAGTTAAATTAATAGTATAGTCACGTGATAAAACTTAAGATATTTTACTGTTTCAGCTTTGTCGCAAATAAATTGACAACCATGAGCTTTGAGTTGAATACTCAAAGACCATGAGGGACGTGCGTGCCAGCCCGCCGCGCATCCGCATCGCTGTCATCGGAAGATCCAGAGTTGGCAAATCTGGATTGGAAAAAAAAAAAAAAAAAAGAAGAACTTACGATACACTTATACGTGGTAGAGCCACGCTGCAGCTAAATTATGGTTTTAGCAAGAATGTCGTAGACCACTTACCATTAGGTGCACTGGGTTGTGTGCCCGTTTGTCACCCTTATCTATAAAAAAGACCATGTGTCAGTATAGGAAGATCTACTATCCCAAATCGTTCTGTGGGTGACGTAAGAAACGATAGAGCTAAACATAACAGAATATTGGCAGTGGCGTTTTTCTAGTAAAAACTAGAATATAAGAAAAAGGCGCTTTCTAATCTGCTTGCCCAGTGAGGCATCTTTTCCAAATATCTTCCATATAGGGCAACCTATGTTCACCAGTGAACTTTGTTAAGTTGTAATTAATGAATTATTGAGGTTGTAATTAATAAATTATTGAAGTTGTAATTAATGAATTATTGAAGTTGTAATTAATAAATTATTGAAGTTGTAATGAGTAAATTATTGAAGTTGAAATAACTAATTAAAAAAAAGAATATTAACAATACTATAAACATTACCCCCTTAACCACTCACGCCAGTATCGAATGGCGGATTCGAACCCACGACCTTTTTGAGTTCGCAGTCCGTGCCCTGCCATTAGGCTACTGTCGCTTTCAATTTCTATTGAAGTTGTAATTATTAAATTATTGAAGTTGTAATTAATTAATTATGGCTATACATGGTAGGGCCATGCTGTAGCTATAGTTGTCAGTCGAATGGGTCAGCTCAGTCCACATTCGAAGAAGGGCCATGCTCTCACAGATTTTCAGCGTAAAATAGCAGCTGCTTTTTGCTTCGTATAGTGAGTTCTCTACCGGTATCGAGAACCGGAGACCTTTTTTACTTGAAACGAGGCATTCCATCTCAGTCCTCAGGGATGACATCCGTATTTTCATTCTTAATCGATAAGAGATGTAGATGTCTATGGGAAACAGCATTCACTTACCACCAGGTGTACTGTGTGCTCGTTTGTCATCCTTTTTCTATAAAAAATGAATGAATGAACTAAGAGCCTTGACGAACTTATTACAGAAAAGCTATCAAAACTGCCAAACTAAAATTTTGAAGACTATTACTAGTAATTGAAAACGCAATACCATAACGTGGGTTATGTTTTTGTACACAAACCACCTAGAAAAATACTAAGGAAAATCTTACATAACTATTGGCACGTTTGAATAGTAGGACGTAAAAGACTGACGATACGACGTGATTATGTGAACCGAGCAATGTTGTTTACGCGGAAAATTTTTCTTAAAATTAAACAAAAATACTTTATTATACTCGATAACTCGGACCATGGATGAATAGAGCTTGTAACGTGAGTCAATAAAAGCCATTCACGGAAACGTCTCAAAGAAAAACAATAACTCTTAGGTAGCAATAATAACAGCCATTTACCTTGGTCGGTCGCGCTGAATGGATGATACTCGAAAATGAGTCTTGTGGAAACTTTCCAGACAATTGGGAAAACTTTGTTATTATTAATATGAGCCATGTAAAGACAGTTTTACGGAAGGTTTACTATATGCTCCCTGCATTGCAATACTCCCTGTAAAAATTCCGGGTGGTTCATTATTAAATTATTTATATTATTATTATTATTATTTAAGCTACTAGTTTACGCTGGTATTCTGTGAGATCTGTGTATACTTTAACACCAGGGCACTTTCACCTATCTTGCCCGTGCCTAATGTAACGTTCATGCGGTGAAGTTAGAGATTTGGCAAGGTTTTATCAGAAGCATGTAGACAATCACAACAAAACTAGAATTAAATCATAAATGTTCATTATTTTGGACTGTTGGCTCTAGCTATACCAATATGAACCCAGGACCGGCGTAGCAATCAGATCACTGACCACTAGCCCACGCGGTCTTCAAGCACAAATAAATAATGTCATGATTCAATTTTTGACTGTGACGACGGTAATCTAAAACAGCAAAGATGTTTTATTTCAACTTTAATGTGATAATGTTTCGCCTTATTTTATGTTTACGGAAGCACCAATAATAAATTCTGTTGTTACTGGTTTTTTCCGCTAATATACGGTTCATATAATTAGAAAAATATTGTGTATAATAACCTCATTAATTAACAGGTTTTCCTTTTTTTTTTTTTTTTTTTTTTTTTTTTTTTTTTTTATAGGATAGGGTGACAAACGAGCACACAGTCCACCTGATGGTAAGTGGTTGCTGTGGCCCATAGACATCTACATCTATCCTCGATTACAAATCAAAATGCAGATGCGTTGTCACCCGTGAGGACTAAGATGGAATGCCTCGTTTCCAGTAAAAAGGGTCTCCGGTTCTCTACACTCACCATACGAAATACAGCAGCATTAAGATACTATTTCACGCTGGTATTCTGTGAGAGCGTGGTCCTTCCCCGGTCGAGCCGACCCATTCGTGCTACAGCTATACTACTAATATAACTGCAGCATGGCTCTACCACGTATAAATTTCATTCCTATTTGTTATTATTAATAATTATTCTATACAAATTTGTTTCACTATGTGATACGCTGTTCACTACAGCCTATGTTACTATAGCCAATGGATGATGTATAAACACACTAACTGTTGCCCGCGACTTCGCCCGCGTGGAATTTATTACGATTTAATTTGGTGGGTTTTAATTTTTTTTGCTCGGTATAAGAAAAACAGACAAATTTTTTTTAATTGTTTTTGTTGTACGTACCGTAGATACGTTCATATGCATTTAGTAAAAAAAATGTTATTTTTACAGTACAAACACTTCAATTTCATTTATTTGTATAGCTATTTATGATAGCGTTAACGATAATACTCATATTTGGGGGAATTTGGCCATTCAGTTTTAATAACCCGTTTTATAAAACGTAATATCATAAAAGTGGCCATATATTAGCGGTATGGATATCATCGTCTGCATTATTACATAACTTCACAAGTTCAGCTGAACATAGGCCCAAGGAATGCCACAAAGTGTAATTATTCAATATAATAACAATATAGAAACGAAAAACCCAGCTGTCACCGGCAGAAGCTATCTGTTTCTGCTAATTTGGCTATAAAAATATGAAGAATATCAATTCATACTCGTACGTACCTCTATTGTGAAAATAATTTCTAAAGTGTTTCTTAAGAGGATATAGTAAAAAAAAAGTAAAGTTAGCCTATATACGTCCCACTGCTGGGCACAGGCCTCCCCTCACTTCTGAGAGGGTTTTAGGGCAAGGAAGTGTCCGCCGCGCTGCCCCAATGCGTGTTGGCGAACTTCACATGTCTTCGAAATATTTTTTCTTATTCCTCAGGCATGCAGGTTTCCTCACGATGTTTTCCTTCACCGCCGAGCACGTGGTAAATCAGCACTTAAAATTTCAATTGACAATTTCATTGGTGCTGACGGGGATCGAACCCGGGTTACTCGCGTTCTGTAATATTTACAGCGAGCGTTAACCATCTGAGCTACCACGGCCATCTGAGAGGATATAGTAAGTCAGCTCAAATTATAATTTCACCCCCACTTCCCCCGCGCGTCGTATGCTATGTACCGACATATTTGTAATCACTAATACTGTAAGTAGATAGGTCATTAGATACTTATTTCATTAGGTTTATCTTATTTATTCCTGTTTCTTAACGCCAACCCAGTCGCTTCTTATTTTTATCACGGTTATTTCCCATTTTAATTTTACGTCGTCCTGTTGCGTAACGTTGTATTCTGATCGTAAGCGACGCAACTTCTCCCTTCAAAAGCCTAAGCGATACTAACGGGGCGACAGGAATCAAGCTTCAAGACGCCGATACTTTAGGTAATTTCTTTTTACAGTGAAAATATTGGTATTAAAAAAAAGTAAATAACATAAGCACTGCTTTACAGTTAGTTCAGTTAGTATGCAAAGTTTCATGATCTTATTTAAAGTATTTTATGAATAACAGCGGTTTATTGTTCAGTTTGGAGGTAACTTTGGATTTTTTTCTATCGAGAAAATTTTACGGAATCGTATTTTCGTCGAATATAGTCCTTAACACTAATCCTCAACTTTACCATATATTTATTTCAAAATTAATGCTGCAATACTTTCGGCATAACGGAGGATCTTGCTAAGCCATTTGAGGTTATATTTCCCCTTAACTAGTACTGACGGGCAATATCCTTTCCTTTATATTTACATTTGTATAACTGTTCCAAGACTGCGCTAATTTGATAAATTATTAACGGTCGCGTGCAGGGCGGAGTGTATGTATGCAGATATACGCCACCGTGCGTTGTAACTTATAGGAGGAGGTCTACGTTGCACTTGTGATGGGCTGTAACGATCATGAAGATGATACATATAAATCCTTTTAAACATAAGCCGACTTCAGTTAGAACTTGATTTTATAGAAATTTATTTGAGGCGACTAAAATATCAGTTTTGATATAAAATCAAATAACTAACCTAA